TCTCTCTCTCTCTCTCTCTCTCTCTCTCTCTCTCTCTCTGCCCTAGACAAAAAAATCAAGCTAGGTTCCATCTCCCAAATGAGTAATTTAAGAGCTAAAAAGAGGCGTTGTTATGTCAACGCCTCGTAGCATCGCCTGAGCAGCCATTGGGCACAGTCTCACACGCTGATTGGTTCATCCCGAATGACACGTGTTTTCGCCGCTTGGGCATAGAGAATCAGTCACAGTTCCCATCTATCCCGATCCCCTCCTCCCATCACATGGACTACGGCACTTATTACTATGGTAACGAGGACGCGGATCATAGCCAAGCTGTTCTCCTCTCTACCAATTGTGCGTTGGATGTAGGTGGGCTAACTACAAACAGCTTGTTTGTCCAGGACTCATTTGAAGTCCAATTTGCATGTCCACATGATAAGTCGGTCATCCCAACCACCACCACATCCGCCTCGGCCACAGTCATTCGGACATCGGCACTTACACAAAACGGCTTAAACAATCCACACGCTAAGATTATCTCCCCAAAGGATAGCTGTGAGTTCTATGGATTTACTTAGTCCACTGAGTTTTTGATTGGTTCAGTTCAAGGTTATCGATGATGTTAAATAAGATTATTGCTTACAAATTCTTCGCAATAATTTTAATCCGAAAGTCCTTTTTTCTGTTCTGCTACTCTTAATACTTAAGCATTAGGAATGAATGTATACAAAGAAATTGATTATTTGATTGTGTTCTTTCTCATTTCCCACCGAAGTGATTCGGACCTAAACAGCATAGTTATTGATCCTGAAACAATAGTTGAGATTATCTATAATATAATTAGAACTCCATCATCCTCTTAAATATCCTCCAATAATTTCCCAGTTGTCCTATTTTAGTATTTATGCTAGTCATATATTTTCCTTTAGCATAATTATGTCAATGCGAGTTAAGTGAAAATCGTATTGTAAAACATATTCGAAATGAAGACGATCGATTGGTGTGATCTCTCCTGTTGTTTAGTCGCATGACGTTATTCCAGTATGAGCGTATCATTGATACCAAAGGTCATAACCGAATCCTTGGAACTTTTCAAGCCGCAAACTATGAGGTGCCCACTATATCGGTGGAAACAATATGAACATTTATGTATTTGCTAGTTATGTTACTGTTTCACTACAGTTTACTATAATTATTAATAAATTTAAGACTATTTATATTGTTGGAAATCAAATTTGATTTGATAGTATGTGAATGCAGAAATAGTCGTTGATTAATGGAAAATGATGTGGAATATTTAACGTTAAAGTTTTACCAAAACTCAAGTTTGATTAGTCCAATATTGTGGCATGTGTGTTTTGTATTAACCGCCGATCAACTCTAATCAAACCAGTTAGAACTTAGATACCAAAGAAAGTGGGTAAAAAATTTTGTTTTACTACCATGTATATCATTGCGGTAATTTCGATTTGATCGCCGGAAGTTCAAGTGGGCAGAACTGATCTGTCTGCATTAAACATTTTTATTTCCATTTCCAAATATAATTATTTATTCAATTACTACTCCTTAATTAATCACATTAGAGACGTAGAAGTAGATTATAACCCGAACATCCACCAAATGAGCCCAAGGGTTAAGAAAACAAAGTACCACTTTTGAGAATCAGTTTAAATGAAAGAAAAAATAATATGAGGTTCTCAAATCTTCGAACGTTTAGAGTTACTAAAAGCATACATTTATATCATGAATACATATATATATATATATATATATATATATATATATATATATATATATATATATATATATATATATATATATATATATATATATATAGGATCATTACCAAGTCCTTTCCTTGTGTGGCAATGGAAGCGCACGGTGTGTACGTTGAGCCAAGGCCACCGAGAAAAAGTGTGAACCACACCACTGAGCTGTGTTGAGTTAGGGAAAGTGAAAGTTCTGAGCACACATAGAAAGGAATTGTAAAAGATTTTGGATAAAGGGAAGTCCTTTGTAGCCTGAAACAGCTTTATTGCAAGCAGCCTATTACGATTCACAGTTGTATCATATGTTCAAAAGGAGAGGGGGGTGGGGGATTTAGCCTTATGAGCATTGAATAACCTGATCTTATCTCGATATACTTGTTTCAACTTTTATTTTCCCATTTTTACTTTATTTTAAACCAATAGCGCTTTCATATCGCATTAGATTAAATCAAGCCACTACTTTCGTGACAAAATATGCAGGGTGGAATTGAGTAGTCAACGCCCAATTCCACTGACTCATTCACCCTTCAGTTGATATTATACTTCCAGTGAAAAATGACTTAATTAACTGAAACTAAAAACGCCCAAATGGGTGGGGGGGAGGGGGATAACGTAATTGTTTAAAAAATTTATAATCGATTCAGCTCACTTATCGATTAATACCATTCTTCACTTCACCACCTCTATGGTATTTATCGATTTTCCATAATGTGCAATGTCACTGTTTTTAGATGTAATTTGTTAAGTTTGCTCAATTTAGGTTTATTGATTTCATGCCTATTGGCTGCTCTGTACTTGCTTTTAATTGCAATATCTTAGCTCCATTCCTGCCCACCATCAAGTATGTAGAAGCCACCACCACAAAGATGGAAATATCCACGCAGATGGTATTTTTCTCTGTCCTCTATTGGCCATTCTTCAGTTGAAGCTCCTCGTAAGGCGAATTCACTTGGGTTTTCTTGGGTTTAGTCAAGAAAAAAATTGGCATCTAAGTGCCAGAAAAATATAATTCAACAGCATAAATAAAAATCCAATAAAACAGAAATTATAAAGATAAATAATTAATGGCTATTTCACAGCAGCACTTGGACAACTAAATCCTTCATTGTCAGCAACCTGGCCTAACCCAACAATTGAATATCCTTAATCGACTTGTAATTTGACTCGAGGTTATATTGTCGAGGCGTTTTTCGCGGGAAATCTCCCATTTATTAATCACGAAAGAAACTATTTTGGAAAGAATAAATCCTCTCGTTGTTTCCTCAGACTCTTGGATTCAAATTGTCCGCTCGTAAAAAAATATATTTTAGGGGCTGTGAAATGCCTGAAGGCAAACAATCTTCACGTTTTTATGAATTCTTTAAATTTTTTTGTTAGAAGTTGATTAGAATTGGTATTTCATACAACACTAACATTGGTACTTTTAGTTAGTCACATTGGGGAAAGTTTGATCATTGCGTGATCGGGTTCCTTTCTGATTAGTTTATTACCTGCACGCTATCATTCATCATACTTAATACGCCTACTTGTAGTAAACCTTTCAATTGACTACGTGAGCTCACCAAGTCTAAAAGCACGGCGCTTAGCCAGACAACGAATCAGTGACTCTGCTTGCAGACGCTATACTCAGGCTATACTCGGTCAAAGCGAACAAAGTGACCTTTTAGCTAGCCAATCAACAAAACGCTCAAAGCACCACAATCCACCAACCAGACTAATTTCATCATCTCGACAACCTTCCAACTTTGATCTTGAACTTCCAAATCTTGAACGCAGTCAGCCAACTCTAGAATCCATGGATACTATGACACCAGAAGAGAAAATCTCCACTAAAAGAGGTAATTCCGACCTTTGAGAATCGATTGGTTTAGGTGAGCAAGATTATGTTCAAAAGAAGACATTTACTAACTGGATGAACACATATCTAACTAAGGTCGGCTGTCCTTTTATTCAAAATTAATTTTCTTTAGGCTAATCCTCAATTAAGAGTTAAAGATCTCTTCGAGGAAATTCGAGATGGAATCATTCTGATTCGATTGTTGGAAATTCTCTCGAAGGAGACCTTGGTATGTTGAACCCCCTCCCCCTTTTCACTAACTCCCCACTCCACCAATAGCCAATCAATATTACAACTGACATGAAACCAGCTTATTGTTTGAGTAATGTCAAGACTGCACTTGACTTTCTGGTCAAAAAGAAGGTTAAACTTGTAAATATTAACCCGGTGGATATTGTTGATGGCAGACCAAAGATCGTTCTCGGATTGATTTGGGTCATTATTCTTTACTTCCAGGTAAAAGAATATTTACATATATGTATATCTTTGCTAATCGGTTTTGTTCTCAGATTGAAGAGCAGGAAGATATGTTACTTGAACTCCTCGGGATACCCAAGACTGGAAGTAGAAGCAAGGTCACTGCAAAACAAGCACTCACAACCTGGGTCCAAAATGCATTTAGCGAGTAAGTTCAATGAGTCACCAAGTAGGCAGGGTGGGCTGGGTTGAAGACATTGACATCTTTCCCTTATGTAGGCGAATCGAACGATTCAAGTAAGAAATTACTTATGGCCCACCTTGCGCTTAAGCACCACTTACGCACTCAGTCTCAAAGCTCATTTATTTTTTTTCGAATTAACTTGTGGTAAACCTTCCCCCCCCCCCCTCCCCCTTGGTAGGCAATTCAAAATCGACATCAAGGACTTCGGCCCGAGTTGGAGAGATGGAGTGGCCTTCAATGCAATTGTGCATAGTATTGATCCAAGACTAGTTGATATGCGGGAAGTGGAGCGCAGAACCAATCGTGAAAATCTTCAAAGCGCTTTCACAGTGGCTGAGGAAAAGCTTGGAATTCCAAAAATTCTAGATCCAGAAGGTAGGACCTGTCATTTCAATGCATGAAGTTAATTGACCAATCAATGATTTGTTTTTAATTGGGTTTGAATTTGGCGTTTGATTTCTCTCAGATGTTGATGTTGAAAAACCGGATGAGAAGTCAATTATGACCTACGTCGCCCAGTTCTACAAAGCTTTTCCGGAAACGGGAAAGCCGAAATCATTGGTTAGTTAATTTTGATGCGTACTGAATTAGTAAATTGAAAATTATAACTTCATCAACCGAGTGGACCAATGAAATGCGTTTAATTTTCAATTTCAAGTTATTGACTATTGGAATTTAATAACTCTTTATCTTATTGTCATGATATTGTTTCAACGCGAAATTTATTAACATCTTTTCCTATTCAAAATTTCAGCAAATTGTTCAATTTATTAATAAGTTGTAGTTTCATTAGCAAAGTATCGTTATAAGCTTCGGCAAAGCAAAGCTATAGAAAGTGAATCATTTTGATTGGTCAAACTTCTCTTTTCAATGAAGATAATATGACAGTTGTGGTGTTTTTTTCTTAATAATTCCATATTACTTAATACTAATTTGTGATATGGAGTGCTTGGTTATTATTAAGTTAATACTTTTGTTGAGGAGAGCCAATTTTGAATTTAGAACCTTTGCGACAGCGAAACGCAACGTTTCACTGAATTTTTGGATGATCTCCAAAATGCAGAAAGCCGGTTGACGGAGTCCATTCAAATGAATAAAAACTTTAATGCAGCATATCCTGTGAGTTCCTGACACTTAACTTTTTTATTTTTCATTTTTAAATATAATAAAAAAACATTTCATTTATTGGTGAAAAATTGAAATTGTCCCAATTTGACAATTGCATTGAATTAATCAAAATGGGTTACTTAAAAGTGTATGTTCAGGTGATTATATAAATCACCATTTTAGTCAAGACTGGTCAACCAACCGCAAGGTGAGCAAATGATTTGAGCAATAAGGAGAATCGAAAAATTGGTGAGAAGGTCAATGATAAGTAAAGGAAAGGTGCGACAATTGAGGGATATCACCATGAATCGTCATGGAAATTGATCTCACTACCCACTGGCACAAATTGATGAAGTACATTCAGAGGGTGAGATAGAGAGGGCGAGAATAGGTACACAATTTAATGGGATACAAGTATCTGAAATCAAATTGTCGGAATGTTTGAGGAAAAATGAATGACACAGCTCATGTGTCACTGGCCAATTATTTCGACCTATCAGTCGCACCATTGGGACTTTGGAAGATGATCAACTCTTCGTTCGGCCTGGGAAGAAATGCTCATAAAATTTATGGAACAGAATTTTGTGAGCAAATACTACACCCATTCTGATTGCTTGGGGAAATCATAAGTCTATATCATGTTTTATCATACTGTTTCCCATATATGCCTCCTTGTAATAATTTATTTTGGTCTCCCAACCTTCCCTTCTCTTCTCTTCCCTCTCCCTCCTTCCACTACGATCGACTTCTTAACCGTTGACCAGTCCTTTCTCTCGTTTTTTTCTATTTGGTCAAGGTTATTGCTTCCGATGTATCTAGTTCCGGCATATCATATCATATACTGGAAAGAAAAATGAGTTTATGCTCTATTAAAATCGTTCTAGAGGAATCCGAATACTCCCTTCTCGTTTACTATGCACCAGTAGCGTATGAGAAAAAAAATGTGAAAAGCTTGGGGGGAAATATGGTTTGATCGTTCAGGTCACTTAGAATTTTGTTTACCATGAATGTTTCCACAGTGGAACTGGAGTTTAACCCCCTTTCCCCTCTGATGCATCTTCTTAAGCAAAAAAGAAGAAAAGAAATCGATTTTCTGACTTCAAAAAGCAAAGAATGTCATCCCATAAACGTGCGATCTAACCGATGTGCAATTGATTTAAACTCAAGGCTATAGAGGCTGTAGGCTGGCCTCTCAAATATTGAGTAACCTTCATGAATTGACCTCATTAAAAGTAGCAATTCAAATTAAATTTCAAGTTGTCTGTGTGCTTTTCTGTGTTCATTTTCTGAAAAATCTGATAAAACGATAAATGACTAATTTATTTGTTTTGAAGAAATTAGTTACTTCTCCAACAGCCGGCATATTTTCATGCTAGTTTCTTTTTTTCGAAATCTTTTACAACGATGAAGTTCGTACCGACATCCTTTATAGTGAAGCACCGTTTTAACTAATATTTGAAGAATCCAGCATACCGCATTATGAGTATTTGAATTTAGCTAATCAAATAATTCACTGGCTAACCCATATCGTTGATCCTTGATTTTAGATCTTCTTATCATCCATTGAACTTGTTAGCAAGTACGAAGAATTAGTCACTATTCTCCAACAAAATGTGGAAGATGGTGCCTTAGTCGGAGGGCAGTATAGTCCGCAGACTGGTTTAGACGCCTTCAATCACTTTGAAGAACGACTTAAGGAATGGCGATGGTGGCTATTGGAACGTCTTCCCGGTGAACTTCGTCAGAGTGGACGATGGATAGTGACAGCTGAAAGGTGGATGGGCGAAGTGGATAATGGATGGAGTCAAGGTGAGGAGGATGGAATTCCTGTTCCTTCGGATGATCAAACATTAAAAAAACTGATCGAAGAACAAAATGTGAGTTTAATTCAACTCCGAGTTCTTGGTAAAAGCTACTCACCAAATTGGAACAATCGGAGCTTATTTTAATCTATTTCAGGCGATATTCGGATCGGATTTCCACAAGATGGGCACAGAATCTTCAAAATTGAAGAAGTTTCTATCCAAAGTGGAATTGGAGGAAGCGATCAAGAGGAAAATTGAAGAAAGCTTGGATGAGATCGCCTGCAAATATTTCGGATACGTAGTGACATTGGTGGCTGCTAATTGCTACAGAGGTGTTCTAGATGCTGTCCACGAATCAGGTCTACTCAATTTACTCGAGAAATGTGCCGAATTAGCCTCTGGAACTCGACCAGAAGAAACGGCCTACGTTGTACAACGGGTTCTTGACGCCTACAAGGTAGATTCACAAATGAAAGACTGTTTTTTCACTTAAAAAGAGTTTAGCTTCCTTTCTGCGATATTTACATATTGGACTTGCTACAGCGTTTTTACTTAAAATATAAAACGTTTAAATTAAAACAAGTCATTTCACACACTGAAGTGAGTTGAATTTTTTATATATCTGCCTCATATTATTCGATTCACGCATCAAATGACTTCCTTCACTAAGTGTAATCACTTTGCTTACACACCTCAATCATCATTGGTAATCGATCCAGGCCAGTTTCTTATTAACTATTCAATGGAGCATTGTAATCCCTATGTAGGTATATCTACGAGCATAAGAAAACTTCATTTCAATAGAGTTAGTAACATTTCACATTGTCAACCCCATAGTACCTCATTCGCTACTCATTTTCTGGACAGGACCTTTATCAGGAGTAATTGTCTGTGGATAATTAAGAGTGGGGGCTTTCATTTGTTGTTATAAATGACTTACTTTCCAAACAAATGTCAGCACTAATCTCACTTTTTTCAATTAAAATCGGCACTCTGCAAAGACTGAGTTGTACAAAGTTAGCACAAAATGATGCTGATCGTCATGTGACCCCGAGGAAGTACTCAAATAGATAAAGGGACCATATGAATCACAATAGGCAATTTTTTCTACTTTTCTGCCCAAACAACTAGAATTGCTGCTTTTTAAACAACCTTTGGAGAAAAACCTTTTAATACTACTAGCCTTATATAGTAGCATAGAATACCTAAAAATAAACAATTATTTTGACCACAATGAATATCAGATGATCATATCGATGATCAAAGTGGTGGAACTGAATATTCAATCACGTCTTGAATTAAAATTACGCATCAACTTATTGCGAGTTGGTTTAATTGAGCCTATTTGAGTTCATTGTTCCATAATGCTCCAACCTATCTTATTTCAACTCCCACAAAATTGTTCTCCATAAGCCTTAAATGAAAGGAGTTCGTACCAAAAGCTACACTTTTCAATGGAAACCTTAGACGATTCAAACGAAGAAGTTTTGGAATACATTTTGTCTAAAGCACATTTCGTTGGTGTTCTATTGAACTGCTTCTGCTCCCAGATTTCCTAGTATCTACGTCCACTGATAATTTCCACTTAGTAGACAATTAAGTAATAAGCAGTCATTTCAATTTTTTTTCTTTTGTTACAGCCTTGGGAGAATAAATTCTCCCTCTCCGAAACTAATCCCCTTCCTGTAGCTGAATTGACAAACTCATTGAACATGGTGATTCAGTTGGAGCAGTCTGCCCAACCGTTGCCCCCTAGAATGACCTCAGAAGTTATTAGTTACTGGCTTCAAAAAACCACTGACTCTTTCCAGCTTGCCACACCTGGAGGCGTCATCCTTCAAGAATTAGGTCAACGCTTGGAACAGAGAGCTCAGGCTTGGAAGACGTTTGCGACCAACCTCAATGCCGTAAATGTAAGTCGTTTGCCAAATACTTTTTAGTAGTATATATATATATATATATATATATAACAGACTAATGGTATTGGTATGCATTCCTTGTAGGAACATGTCGACAATATATCCAATGACCTCAAAGCCAATCGATTGAACATCAGGAAGGTTCAGTTGAATCGCATTGAGGAAATGCTCCAAGAAGTAGAATCAGTTGCTGAATTCTTGGGAACTCAGACAGAATTGAATTCTGTCGCACTATCCAGACGCCGCTTTGAAGAATTAAAATCAGCAGTAAGAAAAATTATATATATTAGAATTCCCAAGTAGGGTATTGTGTGCTATTGTTGCTAGGCAACCCCTCTATGTGTCCTACAAACACATGTGGTTGACCAAACCTGCTTAAAACTGATTATTCAATGTGTTTTCCTCGCAGTCACCCTATATCCGATGATAAAATTGTCTTTCCAAATACGATTTATCCTGCTTTTTAGATTGAAGAGCGAATACAAAAGGAAGTAACCCAAAAGGAGATTGCAGAACAGAGAGTGAAGGATGTCCTTGCTTCGATTTCAGATTGGAATAATAGAGCCAAGGGCCTGATGAATGACCCTGATCAAGTACCCGGTGAAGTGAGGGAAAAAATCATGGCAATTCAAGAATTGCTTGACGAGACAGATGAGGTACGATTGTAAAATCCCAATTGAATTTTAAACACATCCACTTTTCGAATCAATTCTCTCAATTGTCTGGGGACAGTGCGTTTATCCACGCAAATAACAAGTTCAGGATTAGCACGCTCTTACCTACTAAGGGAGAATTTTCCCCCTTTACAAAATATATACATATATATAATTGATTGCTCAAATTTACAAATGAGTGAGGTTATAGACGAAATGCATACTTCTCAAGGCGAACTCTTGAGAAGAAATGTTTTGAAATGAAATTCGATTGGAAAGGCCATGAGGTGAATTGAGCTCACAATGGATTATGGAATTCTACTTAAAGTGACTTTATAATGAAATATTATTATTATTATTATTACTTCAAATGGCAGGCGTTTTGAATAGTTATCATCAGCCATTTAGTTGACTTTCGGCTTCACATAGTGAGAAACATCAACATGAGAAAGAATCAAGAGAAGCAATAGAAGAGTGATTCACAGATGTAGAAGAGACAGACAGACTCAAAGGTAGAGAAAAGGTGAGATGAGTACTGTGAAAGGGGTCGAATATGACATACAGTGGGGTCATGGTAGTTTGAAGTCAGAAGAATAGACTTTTTTCCGTATGAGTTACGTTGCCCAGGGTGCACCACGTGGAGGTAAGTCTATCGCACACCCCAGAAAAGAAAGTTGTTACTCTGATGCACTTTATAAGCAAACAATACCTATGTGTTGTATTTGTCAAGAAGGATGGGCAAATAGGACGCTGATTATCCCTAGATGAAGTAAAACAGTTGCTAATTGGCTGCCTTCATAATTAATCAAATTTCGCTTCGATTATAAACTTGAAAATATCTGACTTCAAGGGGTTGTACGCTAACTCAACTACGTACAAGAGTGTACCTGGCTGTGTGAGACCACATAGAAGTACCAATTCAAGTCGACCCAAATAGGTTCCCAATTTATCGATAAATCAATAATGAGTGAAGAAGACAGCAGCTATAACTTAATTTCAGCGTTTATGGAATATGAAACGCAAAAGAGGCCCCAGTCGAACATCTATAATGAATTTTCTCCCTAAAATCTGCATTATGTGCACGTAAAGCGGCTAAAATCACGATGTTCATGAAGAAGAGGAGAGGGTGGGGGGGGGGGTAGGGAGGGGTGGATAAGGACGTTCATGAATGAACATATTTTTGAATTCCATTTTGTTCAATGGACTTCAGACCTAACCATGTTTCCACCGGAATGATGAATTAGCGTTCTATTTAATTTGTGTTTCTCTTCTAATTCCTTGGCTCTCCATATTTCAATAGTTGGACGACCTACTTCAAACTATCGAGCAGAATAAGCCAGACGCTCTGGCCGATGCGCAAATCGAGGAAATGGACAATATTGCAGCCGATTTCTTTCTGCATCACCGAACTCTTTCGGACCAATTGAAAAATCTCGAACAAATTACCGCTAAAAAGGACAAAATTGAAGGCCTGTTATCAAAAATAGAGGATATGATAGAACATCCTCCCATGGTAAGACATATTTTGACTGTTTGGGATATGAAGGTTAGATTTTTTGAAATATGACTGCGTTAGGTCATTTAATCCAATAAGTTATTTTTGGATTGACTTTCAGGACTTCACAGAGCTAGAAGAAGGTTACAATGAGAGTTTCTCGGACCTTACCACGTCGATCACTGAATTGGAGAACTTAGTGAGATCGGCTCCATTAAAGATAATTGTACAAGATTTGGACTTCTCTCATTTCCAAAGAAGAAAATTGGAGATTGTTAAATCTTGGAAGGTAAATTAAAGTTATATCCTTTTAAGGATAAATACTTCATCTCAATATATTCCTTTAGAATTTATGCTCAAGTCGACGGCTTGAAATTCATGCTTTGGACGATTTCGAGGAAGCATACGGAAGGGTCGATGCTCTAGTGATTGAACTGGCAAGATACTTTGATGCCATTGAATCTGACCTCTCTTCGGCAAATTCTGACCTAATCAAAAGTGGAATTACCATGTTCGAGGTAAAATTAAAGCAAAACATTTTGTTCTTGTTTTTACCAAAGACCAATATGAAGGTTACTTTGTTCAACATTTTAGGATCTCATTGATACACTCAATAATAGACTTCCAAACGACATGGGAAACCTTAAGGAAATTGGGAAGGCAATTGTTGAAAGCGTTTCCGAAGGGTTCAATAATGAGCAACTGAAGAAAACGTGTAGCAAAAGGCTTACATTGATGGAGTCAAAACTGGATGACCTAATTAATCGAAAAATTGCAATTGAAAAGATTTGCAATAAAGCGTCGGTTAGACTTCAGGGTTTTAAAAAATTCACTGAAATTCTGGAAAGCAAGGTTGCTGAAGCTAAACCAAAGTTGGCACTTCTTAAATCAGGTCCAAAAATCACTGGAAAATCGGCCAAGAATGACATTGATGCAACTAACGCTTGGTATGCCGAATGCGAAGTAAGAAATCGATAAATATTGATTGATTATTAGTGAATTTTACTTTCCCTCTAAGGTTCTATAAATATTATTATCGTTTTAGAATCTTGAGAATCTCTTCAATTCAACTCAAAATGCAGCTTCGAAATTACAAACTCTTCTTGAAGATCTGGATTTCAAATCTCCTCCAGAATGCTCAGAAATCTTTAACGAATATCACCGTCTTAGAGATGAGTCAAAAGTAAGATAATACGGTGGCAATATTTATTCATTTATATCGAACGGCAGACTTTTCGATAGTTATCATTAGTCCTTTAGTTGACTTCGGGTTTCACAGAGGGGAGGAACATCGAAGACTCAAAATGTCTAGAGGGGGGGACAGAAAAGTGATTCACAGATGTAAGAGAGACTGACACAAAGTTAGAGAAAGAGGCAAGGTTAGGTGAGTACTGTGGAAGTGGTCGTATATGACATACAGTTGAGCCATGTTGGTTTGAATTCAGAAGTCGAAAGTCGGTTTATAGACATTTTTGGCGTGAGTATACTTTGCCCAGGGCGCAACACGTGTGAGTGTGCCAATCGCAGTCTTTGCAATTTCAAAGTTATAAATTTAATGTTTTAACATAATTCTTTTGAACAGAATCTTCTAAATCAAGCTGGCGTATTCAAAAGCAACATTTCGCTATTCAAAGATTATGCTAAGGAGATTGAACTGCATATTCAAGATTTCAAAAGACCAGCTGAAAAATCTCGATGGGGAAGTCGTCAAAGTCTTCGAGCATCGGCGTCAGTTGAAATGTCAAGACGAGCAGATGAAGTCGAAAATCAACTTCAGGTTGAGGAAAAGGTCAATAACTTGATTCAAGAGATGGAGAATTGCATCCAACGAATCAATTTCTGTTCGTTCCCTCCAGAATTAGTTCAAATTCTTCAAAAGGAGTTGGATGCGTTAAAGAAAATTGTCGAGTTGACATTTAAGGCACTAAAGGCAGAGCAGACGGAGGTATGCAAATAATCCGGTTCTTTATAGCGTTTCGCTTCTGAAGCTACAAAATAGTACCAATGTTTTCTTTTCAGCTTGGTAAGAGCCTAGAAGCCCAATCGAAGTATGAAGTCTCTCTTCAATCTTTTATGGAATGGTTATCAGGAGCTGAAGGGGAACTGAAAATGTCTCCTTCTGAGGCCGATTCAATTCGCGAAAATCTTCTGATTCAACAGGAAGAGTCCACCCGTTTGCTGAACCTTTACAATGAGATCACCTCATCTGGTTCACAACTTATCTCGACGCTCTTATCAACGAAGGAGGAACTTCCAGATGATACCTTAAAGGAACGGAGGCGACGATTAAAGATTCAATATGATGATTTGGTAAAAGCTATTTCGCAAGCGAGGGACACATGCTCAAAGACACTAAATGCCTGGAAAGAACTTGATGCAAATGTAAGATTGTCTGGAGCTCTATTGACGGACGCTGAAGGAAAGCTCCAGAAAGTTGAAGGTGATTTCGAGCATAAAGCAAAGTCGATGAAAGATGCTGTTCAGACGGCTTTCGAACGAATGGCCCAGAGACAGCGTCTAATTGAAGTAAGTGTATTTCATCTGAAACAGCTAATCATTATGTTGTAAGTAATTAAAATTGCTGTTTCTTTGTTCTATTCAAAGAACGGTGAGTTGATGAACCAATAGAATTCGAAACTTTCAGTCCACGTTTTTTTGAATATTTAAAATTTATTCTCATTTCAGGACCCGAATATTATAAATTAAATTCTATATTAGGATTTAATCTAATTTTGGGTGTAGATTTCAGAAAAATATTCCCTCCATTCTTTTGTTGCAAACGAGCTTTGTCACTTCTATATCGTTGATTTTTTTTATTTAATTTATTTGCAATCTCCTGGTCACAAATCCCTTTGAAAACGTCTCCCAACTTGATTCCCACTTAACGCACCCGCACTTAGTTGACTAAAGGTAAAATTAATTTGGAAAAGTAGTAGAGATACGAACCTAATAGAGGAATTATAAATAGTTAACTTGTAGCGGATTGCTACACTAGTAAAGCCTTGACTGGCTCAAAAATCTCTGTACAGATTTTACCTATATCCAGCTTGACTCCCAGAACTAGCTAAGTTACAGACCAGCTATAAAGGAAATTTATTTATTTCTATCAAATGGCTGGCGTCTTGATGGTTATCATTAGCCCTTTAGTTGCCTTCAGGCTTCACAGAGGGGAAGGAACATCAAATTGAAAAAAAGTCGAGAGCGGGGAACAGAAGAGTGTTTCAAAGATGTAAGAGACGAACACAAAGGTAGAAAAAAGGTGAGGTGAGTACTGTGAAAATAGTCGAATATGGCATAGAGTGAGGTGATGGTAGTTTGAAGTGAGAAGTCAACTGCCGGTTAAT